GCTATCGTGATGTTAGTCTGGCTGTAAAAGGTCAGATCTACAACGTGTCGGTGAGAGCAGTTCTGCTCTATGCTTGTGAAACCTGGCCTCTCTTAGTTGAAGATGTTAGACGACTCACTGGGTTTGATAATCCTTGTCTCCGAAGGATTGTTGACATCCAGTGGCAACACTATGTTAGTAATGCAGAGGTTCGGCATCGTGTGTTCGGGCGCACAGACGATAATCTAATTGGTGTCACCATCTTGAAACATCGACTTCGGTGGCTTGGACATGTTCCCCGAATGTCGTCCCACAGAATTCCACGTCGTGCATTATTTGCCGACTCTGGGACTGGTTGGAATAAGCGGAGAGGTGGTCAGTGCATGACATGGTGTCGTGGTATGAAAGAAAGCTACAAAGGACTGGCTTCTGTCGGTCCTTCACGACTCAATGATTGTGGTCAGAGAGATGGTGCTACACAGTGGCTAAGAGACGTTATCAGATATGGCTCAGAATAGAAGCCAGTGGCGATCCTGCTGTAACCTTCTTTTACTTTCTTCATAAAAAGTGGTTGTGTCTCCCTTACCTGAAAGATTTCTTCCGATTGTACCTTTGTGTCCCCTCATTACTACCACAATACCTTACACCAATCTCTTCGTTGTTGTTCTCTTTTTTTTCTATTTCTCTTCGAATTCTCATTGTTTTGTGTGGCGCATATATATTTGGCGCTCTCTTGTACCAATATTTATGTGTTCAAATAAATAAAGAAAGAAATTTCCAACTCCCCTAGGTAGAATCTTCGGGTCCACCAACCTGCTTAAAGAGCCCGACAATCACTTTTCGTCCCCTCGATTTCTTAAACACCCCCGCCACGATAAGGCAGTAATAAATACATACAAATATACATTTAAGATGTCTAATACATGTACGATACTATTTATAATTTAAGTCATTTTGTTCATACATTTTAAAATATATATATTACTAAACGTAATAATATAGATGAATAGATAAACATATCAATAATAAATATTACTTAGTTACTTACGCCTCTTATTCCCAATGGAGCATAGGCCGCCGACCGGTATTCTCCAACCCACTCTGTCCTGGGCCTTCCTCTCCAGTTCCATCCAATTCCTGTTCATTTTTCTCATGTCTATTTCCATTTCTCGACGTAATGTGTTCTTTGATCTTCCTCTTTTCATTTGGCCTCGAGGAGTCTATGTGAGGGCTTGTCTTGTGACACAGTTGGGTGCTTTCCTCAATCTGTGTCCTATCCACTTCCAGGACTTCTTCCTGATTTATTCCTCCAATCGAATCTAGTTTGTTCTCTCCCACAGTACGTTGTTGCTAATAGTGTCCGGCCAGCGGATCCGAAGTATTTTGTGTAGACAACTGTTAATAAACACCTGTATCTTCTGGATGATGGCTTTCGTAGTTCTCCAGGTTTTCGCCCCATTCAGTAGAACTGTATTGATATTCGTATTGAAAACCCTGACCTTGATATTGGTTGACAGAGTTGTTTTGAGTTCCAGATGTTCCTCAATTGTAAATATGCTGCTCTTGCTTTGCCGACCCGCACCTTCACATCTGCATCAGATCCACCGTGTTCATCAATGATGCTACCCAGATATGTAAATGTTTTTAAATATTCCAAATCCTCTCCGTCAATTGTGATTCGATTGTTGCATGCTGTATTGTATCGGAGAACCTTGCGTTTTCCTTTGTGTATATTGAGACCTACTGCTGCCACATTGGTCGTCTTCTCCTGCATTTGTTGTTGCGTTTGCGATACACTACGGCGTACCTAAGGAGATAGTCAATATCATACGGATTTCCTATGATGGATTAAACTGCAAAATCGTGCATGGAGGACAGTTGACAAACTCGTTCGAAGTAAAGACCGGTATCAGGCAAGGTAGTTTACTCTCACCCTTTCTCTTTATCCTGGTGACCAACTGGATCATGGAGACGTCAAAATCTGAAGGGAAGCACGGGATACAGCGGACATCTATGACGCAGTTGGACGATCTAGACTTCGCAGATGATCTGGCTCTTCTATCGCACACGCAACAACAAATGCAGGAGAAGACGACCAGTGTGGCAGCAGTAGTAGGTCTCAATGTACACAAAGGGAAAAGCAAGGTTCTCCGATACAATACAGCATGCAACAATCGAATCACAATTGACGGAGAGGATTTGGAGTATTTAAAAACCTTTACATATTTCGGCAGCATCATTGATGAACGTGGTGGATCTGATGCAGATGTGAAGGTGCGGATCGGCAAAGCAAGAGCAGCATATTTACAATTGAGGAACATCTGGAACTCATAGCAACTCTCTGTTAACCAACACCATGGTTAGGATTTTCAATACGAATATCAATACAGTTCTACTGAATGGGGCGAAAACCTGGAGAACTACGAAAGCCATCATCCAGAAGATACAGGTGTTTATTAACAGTTGTCTACACAAAATACTTCGGATCCGCTGGCCGGACACTATTAGCAACAACGTACTGTGGGAGAGAACAAACTAGATTCGATTGGAGGAATAAATCAGAAGAAGTGCTGGAAGTGGATAGGACACAGATTGAGGAAAGCACCCAACTGTGTCACAAGACAAGCCCTCACATAGACTCCTCGAGGCCAAATGAAAAGAGGAAGATCAAAGAACACATTACGTCGAGAAATGGAAACAGACATGAGAAAAATGAACAGGAATTGGATGGAACTGGAGAGGAAGGCCCAGGACAGAGTGGGTTGGAGAATACCGGTCGGCGGCCTATGCTCCGTTGGGAGTAACAGGCGTAAGTAAGTAGAAATAATGATCAATACTTTATGAAACGAAATGTGCAAACAAGTTATCTGACTTAGGAAACTGACAATACACGAACAGATGAGTGGAATTAACAAGACGAATAACACGGTAATAAAAAATTAGTGATGACAAAAATAAGAATAAGGCATGGAGGACATGTTTAGGGGTTAAATTAGCAGAATAAACGATATGCAGTCACCTAAGATCTGAGCTAAAACAAGGAAAGAGCGCATGGGGACTGTTGTGATACAATTTAAGCCTGGTCATCCAACGTCGACAACTACTAACTATCCCAATCTCCTAGTGTATATTAACCAACAGAGCTCAATATAACTTTTAATGATCCCATTGAATATTGGTGCCTCAGCAAGGCTGGATATGGATTTTTTCTAACTCACGTAAATCGTGTCAGCAGTTTTACTCCTATCGATAAATTATCCGCTCTTAAGGCTTTCTAATTAACCTATTTACAGGGCACATGATTATGACTCATACTAGGAGTGTGAGGACTAATCGTACTGTTGGATCACCCAAATCAAAATAGATGAAGTAGGGTACGAGATAGAAATTAACAACCGAACACATTTACCATTATGCCACAATTGTCCCACCATTCATTTATAATATATTGAATTGGAAATAAAAAGCAAGCAGTGAAAATTATATTAAAAAGTCAGTCAAATAATTGAATATGCAAATAATGATAATAAAAACAATCCATTCAAAATATTCAACGAGTACAACAAGAAAAATCACAAATATCAGTTTACCTTTTTAGGAAACAAAGAAAAAAAAACATAAAATATACCGAAAAGCATTCTGCACTTTTATACTCCACACACAGACACAATTTGAGAACAAACAAATGATTTGATTAGTAGAGATAAATACAGAAATATGCATATATATATACATAATAAAATCCTACACTCTCCTGGTTATCATTTGTTCCATATGCATCTTTTATAATGCAGTCGTGAAACAACAAGTAATGATCATCAAGAACTAATATGTAATAAGTGCAGATAAATTAATCAGTTCAGTGATGCATAAAGTTGTCATGTATCAGTATCAATAGAGAATATGATCATGATTAATTGATAATTAGATAAGATAGTCTGTCTTATTGTTTTAATTTCTTCAAAGTGGCGCATTCAACGTACAAAATTAGGAACAAAACGATGCATCTCACAGTCGCAAAATTACAGAAGAGGATGTCAGATGAAAACAAAGGTTGAATGTGAAACAGATAACAAAGACAGACCAGGCTTACAGGTATTTGTTAGACTGACATAGGGTAATATAAATTGACCATGCCATCCACTAATTAATAGTTTCTTTCGAAAATTCACTCTACATTGGTTGGAACAAATAAACTGTGTGATGTAAAACGCCATTAACAACGAATCGGGTGCGTACAAAATACTGGTTTGTAGTTGTCTTGAATCGAATTACATTGCATTTTTATGTTTCATAATATGACAATAATCAAAAGAGAAAAGGAGAACAACTCGAATATAACCAAGAGAGATCATGTATGAATAGTTAGCATAGGGGAGATGAAGGCAGTGGCAACGGTTCTCTTAGACGCAATTTTGAGAGAAAAAATCAGGCAACACCAAGTAAGAAAACAAAGAGAGGCACGAAATTGACTAAAAAGGGAAGCACAATGACTACGTCTGTGTGTACGATTCCGATCACAAGAACAATACTCATAGATCTGAATGAGAAAAAACGACTCAAATACAAATATTAACATATATTACATAAGTCAGCTTTCCTACACTGGTAAACTAATGAGAAGAATATGCACGGTCATTCAGGTGTGAACACAAAAATTAAAACAAGCGAAAAAAATCAGGACTGAGATTCAAAACAAAGGAAAACGGAGTGAACAGTCGAAATTATAAGAGATTCTATTGTCTGTTTGTGTGTGTGTGTGTAATTGTGAATAGTAAATATCAACCGGATAATTAGAAAAGATGGTTGTGTCACCACAAACACGACGACCTACAAGCACACACACTTGCATAGGATCGTGTTGGTGATTGTGGCGATAAGTCAGTCGATCGATAACAAGTAAGTGTGAAAATAAATTAATTATACAGGATAATAAGCTCACAAACACACAGTCTCGCCCACTTGCATGTTTACTCTATGGAAGCATTCACAACAACAACTGGAGCAATATTATCCCAATATTAAACTAATTCACATGAACTATGTTTCTTTTTCTTTCCTTCAGGCATGAGTACTGCTCGAATAGCTTCGTCAAAGACATCTTTTAATCCGAACTGAGTCAAAGCAGAGCATTCCAGATACTTCACAGCTTTAATTTCTCTTGCCATTCTGCAACCCTGAATAATAACAATGGTCAATAAAAAAATAATCAAATGATAGTTTAAAGCCTAAAACGACATCATACTGTCACTACTCATGGTAAAATTCTGCTAATTGAAAAATAAACACATTTACTGAATACTGGGAATATGTGCTGAAAATCCCGTATAATAAACAATAAAGCGCTTATAGTGGTTACTGTTATCTTGTGAAAAAAGACCAACTACTTTATACCCAGTCCACCCAAGACCGTAACTGCCATTTATATACGATACTAGGGATTATATGTCGTGATGACTCAGTCGAGTTACATCACTCAGAACACTGGTTCTTTTAGGTTTCATCATGACAATCAGGTCAGTATAAAAGTGTGACGAAATAAGTTGTTTCAGTTTCAGTTTGGGAAGGACAGGAGGCCTGATAGCCTGTGTTAGTCCTGGCAATGGCGGTCCCTCAGTTGATCCAACTTTCTTTTGAAAGAATCGACGGATGGAGCCTCAACCACGTGCTGAGGTAATGAGTTCCACTAGCTGATGATTCGATGGAAAAGTCGTTAGTCAGCTGACAAGTCATTTGTTCTTGGCTTGTGAACTTTTTTGGAGTGTCCTCGTAAATTCTCTGTTTTGGAAGACAAGAAAAATGAGGGCATATCAGGTGCCAATTTGGCACGAAGCAATTTGCCTCAGAAAACCAGCATTTGGAGTGATGCTCCAGCCCACAACAAACGGAGGTCAGGAATGATTGACCCTAAGAGTAATACATCCTACGGGTGATACATCACGGATTCCAATGGCGAACAGTAACATCCTAGAAGTGAAAGGGTAACACTTCCAAAACTACTTGAAGAAACTGTGACCAGACACTCATACAGATCGTTTCTGTACGCTGTGGTCATGCTCCCACATTGTCAAAACTATCATTAGTCCAGTTTAATTTACAGGTCTCTCAAGGAGTATCGTTCAACGATGTGGGCAACTGAGAAACAACAAGTGTTCTCGCAAATCTAACACCACTTGAAGTCGACTCGTTTACAACAAAATCCCTCCATTTAGTTAACCTGTCGGATAGTTATCGGCTGTTTTGTATCACTCAAGACCAGTGCTTCCGACATATTTCTAGTTCATGTACGCTTTCACCAAAACAAACACAAATGCTGAAGGAAAACTATTTAAATGCATGCCAATCACTGAAATAATCAACTACAGAACTACAAACGTTTCACAATACGATATACGGACAATCAATCTAATAGCACTTAATGGACAGAAAATCACAATATTATGTAGTAAGTTACACAGTGCAGAGCATCTCGGTCAAACCAAAAGACAAATTTCCCTTGAGTTAACAATCTGACTGCATATGTTGTGACTATATGCAAATAGCAAACTACGAACGAATTAACACCAGAAAAAGCCACCAAAGAACTTCACAGAACTCAAGGAACGTTCAATCACATTGTAATCTCAGGACACTGAATCAATATTCAATGATGACCAAATTATTCACGAATACTTCGAAAAGTATAAACAATAGCTTTCGGTGGAACCATTTGACAGAAATGGAAAAAAAGTCGAGCGACGAAATAAATCGGCTCAAAATAGATTCGACTTGACAACTTTTAACTACTTAATACGGTATACACACGAGTAACAAGGATTGTACAGACATAGTCACAATTAAAGAAACTTTAAAGTTAATTAAAACGTACTTTACATATCACTCACACCAGTTTTGTACCATTTAACAAATGAAAGTCTTTCTCCGAGAATAACTGATTTAGTTATCCGTAAGCCCGGATATTGGTAATCCAAATACTCTACTATTTTCATTAAACTACTTCTCCTAGGAAAACACATTAAACAACCATGAGCGAAACGCGTATATGCCTTACTTTGTATTCTAGTAGTCGTCGCGAACTTTTTAGCAATAAACAGATAAGCACACACTATGTGAAGTCTAATGACGCTACCCGCTTTCCTAAACCGAAAAAGGCGGAGCGCGATAAGAACTAAGGAGTCTGACGAATTAACCTCCAGCCACAGCTTTAACAGTAAGACTGTAGTAGATATTCTGTGGTAGATTCATCAATCATACAATGGATGTCACCGACTTGACGCTACAAGGTAGCAATATGAACCAGTAACCACAACAAGGTTTCTGAACTGACCACTTATTTACACAGTTGAGGTCAAACTCTACTACACATTTTTTTGTTTAACGTCAGGCACAAAAGAGTACAACCTGTCAATGTAACAGAACAGATGTACTGAAAATAAAGCGGATTTAATGAAATATACCCAAAGTTTGCAAATAAGATCAAAATATAGAGTTATTTCCATTTTATTTTTGTGTAGCTGCTTACTTCACATTTAAAACATACAGTATACACGCACCTAAATGAGTCTTGACTATATTGTTTTCCTTGGTTACAAGTCATTGAGGTAATATATAAAGTTGACGTTTATAAGCGTTTTAAGATATACATGATGAAGCAACACGCAAAATTTTTTACGAATAATAGACAGACTTTACAGACTACTGACAGGATACAGCGATTGTTTAATGATTAACAGATTCGACATTCAACTACTAACATGCAAGTTCAAGCCTAGTAAACTTGAATCAGGGTTTTCCAACCAGCAACCTGTTTTAAACGCTGGACATTCGCTTTTCGCTCTCTTGACATTTTAAACACTCGTACCGCGAGAAGGCAGAGTAGTTCTCCGACAGTGGTTATTTACGCGTGATCAGATGAGAGCATTTTAGAAGAGCGGACTCGTCACCCTGGCTTCAATACATGTGTATGCGATGACGAATGTTAACATTATTTCATGTATCTAACAGCAAACTAAGAGACATGACATTCTAATCCTGTTCAAACGTACACTTGGAGTATTACTCGATTATATACTTGCATTAAAATAATCACTGTAACCCTTCATACCAAGTATAGTTAATAAAACTACGTGAACTATTTGTGTAGTAGCAACTAACCTCTGCATATGTTACTGGAAACGTTGTGGATTTTAACCCGTTAGGACTATCACGTAGGTCCCGTTTTGTTCCGACAAGAATAATGGGAGCTCTAGGAACATAAGCGGATATCTCCGGATGCCATTTACTACGAACATTCTCGAATGATGTGCGACTGACCAAGGAGAAGCACACCAAGAACACATCAGTTTGCGGATATGAGAGTGGTCTTAGTCTATCGTAATCCTCCTGACCTAGAAATAATATACGTGTTAATACAATCACGGACTTGGGAGCATTTAAATATATTTATACTTACCGGCTGTATCCCACAAACCAAGGTTCACAGGTTTCCGGTCAACCATTACGTTAGCAGAGTAGTTATCGAAAACGGTTGGGACGTACTCACCGGGGAAAGCATTTGTCGTGTAGCTGATGAGTAAACAGGTTTTTCCGACAGCACCATCACCGACAACTACACATTTAATGGCTTGCATGAGTAGCAAGAAGTAAAAATGTTACGGTTCGCGTCTAGCCAAAAGGTACTTTGTGTATTAGGGGAACATACAACGTAGTGTGATTGAGGAGGGCTGGAGGAGAGGAAAAAAGACTGAGATCAACATATGGCCCAGTAATCAAGGACAACACACTTACATCTAATAGGGAAAGCAATCGAAAGTAAACAGAAATAACACGAGAGTGAAATCAGTACAACCCGATAACCGAAACTAGAACTAGGCAATCCAACCAATTACGCACAAACTTAAACCGAAAGCCAATTAACATCCGCGGTTACTGGAATTGTGTCCGTTAAAACAAAGTATGCTACTTTGTCTGAAGTGAGACCAAAAACCGCCGCAAACAGCTATTGTCATCTTCGATTTTGTCAATCCTAATTTATGCTTCTAAACGTGGGTTCACGACTCTACTTATGCTCTACGTCAAAATTGGTATACTTTGATAAAAAAAATTACCAAACGAAGAGAATATGGTCAATCAGTGATGATTTTTACTTCGACTTTAGCAGGGCTTTTAGTATTGCATCATACAGCGCTCTATTAAAGCTCTCCTGACTTGGCATACGAGATTCTTTATTATCCTGGTTCAAATATTTTTCACCAGTACGTAGCCAAATCGTTCGTTCCGGATCTAACTACTTTAAGCCTATGAATATTACCAGTGGCGTTATACAAGGGTGTCCAGTTAGCTAATTACTCATGCTCCTCTTCATTAATGATGTTTGCTCACTATTTCAATTCGGTAAACCTTTCCTTTTTGCTGCTGACCAAAAGTGGTTTATTCATTTCCGTCTTCCACCAAAGAAAGTCATGTTTAACGGTAATTGATGGGGACATGAGCAAGTAATATGAATGGATCGCGTCACAGAACTTATGGCTGAATTTTGATAAAAGCAATCTCATTTACTTTGGACTCAGTACTAACATAGATCTGGTTACACAGTGATGTGTTGGCGAGGAAAATAAGGAACGGTTGTTTACTTAGTCGGACTAGTGGAGAGTCTGACGACTATTAGATGTGTCTTGTGTTTCCGTACCCTTATTATTGCAGTGATTGTGGTCGGATTTCGGTGTTAAAATTTGCTTACGTCCTAGTCGGGCCAGTCGTGTGCTGTCTATCTGAGTTGTGTTGAAGTACTGTAGAATTATGGTCTGCTTCGTTATTAGTGCTATTATTATAATAGCCCTAATCCTAAAATTGTAACTCCCTAATCTATAAGATCCTACGTGAAAGTCACATTATTGTATACGCTGAATCATCGTAACAATTAGTAATATAAAATCCAGTACTTCTGAAAAACACATTTAGGCTGAAGATAGGATAATATATTTAATGTGAATAAAGACATGTTATACAAATTGACCACGTCTACAGGGCTGAGCCAAACCATTCGTTTCAATTAATTGATTCTTCCCGCCTTCTTCATTGTTAGCCTACTGTTAGTATTACATGTTGGATATCTATTTTCCCATTTATTTCATGGTCAACTTTGAGGATTTTGTGGTTAGGACCACTATCAATATAG